TGGCCACAAGGGCACACTGCTGGCTCGTGCTTAACTTGTTGTCCACCAGGACTCCCAGGTCCTTCTCTGCAGAGCTGCTTTCCAGCAGGTCAGCCCTCAACCCGTTCTCTTCCTTTCGCAAGCTGAAAGAATATAGAAATCAAAGACACCTCCTATCATTGCCTCAAATGTATTTAAAAGGGCTTCTAAAAGGCACTTGTCTGTCTTGAACTGTTCTCTTGTACTTTACCTAGTACAGTCACTGTGTCATAACTCCTTGATCCTGAAAGTGGAGACTGAGTTTGGTCAGTTGTTGAAAGCAAGTCACCTTGATAAAAGGACCATTGTTGCCTGTGTGCCCAGTGCTGCCAGCACAAAACAGGTGTGGAGGAGGAAGGAAGCCTGAATCTAGTCAGGATGGGAGCAGTGTAAAGTCATCCAAGGACTTGCGTCAGGAAATCATACTCTAACTATAAGCATGCCAAGCACATCTTCCTGCACTGTTAATGTCTAGCCTGTTCTCAGCATCTAATATACATCTGCTACCAGCATGGGGCTGCCTTGTGCACTGCCATCCCCTGATTTCTGACACAACATCTGAGGACCTACCGCTAGAATTATAGAACTGGATAGCTTGAAAGGGACCTCAGGAGGTCTCTGGCCTATCCTCCTGTTCAAAGCAGGGTTAATACTGAATTTGGACCAGGTTGCTCCAGGCTTTGTCCTGACAGATCTTCGAAACCTTTGGGGTGGCGATTCTTCCACAAGCTGTCCTGGTGCTGGATGGCTTGTAGGCAGCCCTCTCTTCTTCATGTCCTCCATGGGACACTGCAGGTAATAAGACCTTAAGCCAGAATAAATAAGCACAAAGGTGTCTGGTCCTCGGAGCACAATCCAAAACTTGTTCAAGCATGAGAAGTGGCATTTTGCAAGTTATAGACAACCCCTCCCCACTGCCCTGGGATAATAGGATAGGCCTGCTAGAGTTAATCAGCAGAGAGAGCTGAAGGACAGGGTGCATCCTGTGACCAGACCTCCCCAGCTTGCAAACACTTGAGCCAGTGGTTCCCATCCTGAGTTTGTGGCCTGAACCCTCCTCTGCAAGGGGGTGCTGGAGCCCTTTTTCCTCAGAAGCTGCAAATCTTCCTCTGAAGCTTCCTGCTGGTTCTTGTCCTCTCTTTGAGACACTTGCCCCTTATCTGCAAAGTAAACCAGTTTACACAGGATGGTGTCCCCTTCCTGGAATAGCCTAATGCCTGACAAATGAGGCAGTGCCCTAGGTATGGGTTTGAGCCCTTCAGGTGGAAGTGAGAACTGAACTGAATTGATTACCCCACTGATGTGTTATGCAACATAAATCACTGGATAAATAAAAGGAGGCTCTTTGTATCAGTCTTCCCTTCCAGCAGGGTCTTTAAAGAAAACAGCAGGTACCCTTCCATTTTGTGCTGAGGCCAGTGTGTTGTGCTGGCTCTGGGAACACCTGCACTGAGCTCCCAAGGGGAACTGGGCTTGTGTAGGGGCATCCAGTTGGCCCCAAGCTGCTCAGCCGTGGTAGGGCAGATACTTGGTGCTCATGAGTGATGCTTATGTGAACCCTGCCTGTCCTCAGGTGTCCCCAGCTGGGTGGAGGTTTTTAAGCAAGCAGTTTGGAGCTCCTGGCCTTTGCGGGGGTCCCACACTGCATGTCCAAGACAGCAGCCAGAGATGCTTGGCTTGGTTGTTGTTGCTCCTGCAGAGCAGCAGGAGCCAGACCCCGGCTGGTTGGGAAGAAGAAGGCGCTAAACCTGTACTGGGCACACCAGCTAGGATGGAGGCAGGATCATCATTTCCCTGCACTGTTACTGGCATAGGCAGCTGGAGCCTGGTAGCTCTTTGTAGTGGCCTGAGCTGCTCACAGTCATTCTGAACAGAGCCATAACTCCCAAATTCAGCATTGATTTGTGTGGTCTGAATACAGTTCACTGTCCATTTGGGTCTGGTCTTGGCACCCCCAGGTAGTAGTGATGGATTCTTCTGTCACCTTTCCTCTACCAGGAGCGGGCCAGGCCTGCTTCCTGATTTTCCCCTTGGGAGATTGCTGCATCCTCTGAGCCCTGGCCGCTGCCTGCGAGAGCTACAGGAGTGGGTGCTTTGCCATTTAATAGGAGTCATTGAGCAATGTATGATGAGTCAAGAGAAACGGAGCTGGAAAGTTTGACTGGTACCGTCTCGTCTTGAGTGCTTAAT